CGGCAGCCGCCGCCGCCCAAGGCTACGGCGCCTTCCTGCCCTACGCCGCGGAGCTGCCTATCTTCCCGCAGCTGGTAAGAGCCCAAGGAGCCGGGGAAGGGGGAGGTGAGCCCGCTGGAGTAGACTTGCGGGGTCCGGGCCGGGAGGGTGGAGGCGGCAACCGCTGGGGCTCACCCGCGCTCCCTCCGCGCGTGTCCCCTTCCTTCTCCATGTGCGTACAGGGCGCGCAGTATGAACTGAAGGACAGCCCCGGGGTGCAGCATCCGGCCGCGACCACCGCGTTTCCCCACCCGCACCCCGCCTTCTACCCATACGGCCAGTACCAGTTCGGGGACCCGTCCCGTCCCAAGAACGCCACCCGGGAGAGCACCAGCACGCTCAAGGCCTGGCTCAACGAGCACCGCAAGAATCCCTACCCCACCAAGGGCGAGAAGATCATGCTGGCCATCATCACCAAGATGACCCTCGCCCAGGTGTCCACCTGGTTCGCCAACGCGCGCCGGCGCCTCAAGAAGGAGAACAAGATGACGTGGGCGCCCCGCAGCCGCACCGACGAGGAGGGCAACGCTTACGGGAGCGAGCGCGAGGAGGAGGAGGACGAGGAGGACGAGGAGGACGGCAAACGCGAGCTGGAGCTGGAGGAGGAGGAGCTCGGGGGGGAGGAGGAGGACCCGGGGGGCGAGGGCCTGGCCCACGACGACGAGGACGAGGAGATCGATCTGGAGAACTTAGACGGCGCGGCCGCCGGGCCTGAGCTGGCCCTGGCTGGTGAGGCGCGCAGGGACGGCGACCTCGGCCTGGGACCCATTTCGGACTCCAAAACTAGCGACTCGGAAGACAGCTCCGAGGGCTTGGAGNGCTCCCCCAGCCCTGCAGCTCTCTCCGGCCGCCGCCGCCGCGGCTCACAGACTCGTCTCGGCGCCGCTGGGCAAGTTCCCCGCTTGGACCAACCGGCCGTTTCCAGGCCCACCGTCTGGCACGCGCCAGCACCCGCACCCGCTCTCCCTGCTCGGTTCGGCCCGTCCGCACCTGCTGGGACTTCCCGGAGCCGCTGGCCACCCGGCTGCCGCTGCCGCCTTCGCTCGGCCTGCGGAGCCGGAAAGCGGGACAGGTGACTGCTGAGCGTAGGGCGTGGGGGGAGGGGTGTGCTCTGCGGGTCGCGCCCGGGCTGGCGGGAATGGCCAGGGCACTTACCTTCCCGCTGCCGCCCCCCGCGGCCCTGGGCGTCTGAACCGAGCGCTCTAAAGGCCCCCTTTTTTCCTCCCCTACTTCCCTTAGATCGCTGTAGTGCCTTGGAAGTGGAGAAAAAGTTACTCAAGACAGCTTTCCAGCCCGTGCCCAGGCGGTAAGAGACCCCCGAGGTTGGGGGGCTGGGGGGACTGGCAGGCGAGGGGAGGAAAGAAAGAGCGCTGAGCCAAAAGCACAGCCTTTTGCCCAGGAACGTTTTTTTAAAAGGGGGTCAAACTCATTCCTCCGTCGTTCCCGCGGGCCTAGAGACAACTGGACAGTCCCGGCCCAGGCACCCGGGGCGCGGCCCGCAGGTAGAGCGCTGGGGAATCCGGAGCCTGGTCAGCCCAATAGGCCCCTGGAGCAGGTGGCAGCCCTGTGATGCCCACCTCCTTCCAGTCCCGGATCACAGTTAAACCTGAACACAAACATCTACAGCTAGACATAGTTTTGCATTGAGACACCTCGCTGCCCCAGCCCCAGCCCCAGGCAGGATCTCACCGCCCTAGGCAGCCTCCGCACCCCTAAATCTATCTCACCCCCTTTTCTATTACTGTCTTTCTTTTTCAGGCCCCAGAACCACCTGGACGCCGCTCTGGTGTTATCGGCTCTCTCCTCGTCCTAGTTCTTTTTTATTTTTTTTTAATCGTTGTAATAATTGTAAAAAAAAAAAAAAATCGCTCTGTATAGTTATAACTTGTAAGCATGCCCGTGTATGAATAATACCTAAAAAGAAAACTAAACAAAAAAAGAAAGAAAAAGAAATGAAACCAGTCACTCTCAGCCCTCCCCAAGTCGCTTCTGTGCCGCCCCACATTAGCCGCGTTAGTGAGGTGTGTTTGTTTTGTTGATTTTAGGGGATGGACTTTCAGTGAGAATAAGTGTGTCTGACTTTTTTTGTATATACGGGAAAATGTACATATGTGTGAACCAAATTGTACAAGAAAGTATCTATTTTTGGCTAAATAAATGAGCTGTTGCCACTTTGACTATAACTCGCCCGTCTGTCCCCAGATAGGATCTGTTTGGTGGGTTTGATTTTGGTTTGCTTTGGTTTATTTCGGTTCACCTCCCTACCGCCCTTGTTTGAAGAGTCTCCCGAATCAGCAGGAAAGGACGAGAGAGGAATCGGGACCAGGACTGTATGGTCAGAGGACAACGCAGATGTGCCCGGGCTCCCGAGAGAAGGTGGAGGAGACAGGTGGGAAACCGGGCCGAGATTCCTTACCAGGAGCTGGGAAACTGGGCCCAACCCGCAGGTTCATAGGAGCAACTGCGGGTCTTGGGGCCTTCGCTGGTGACAAAGTAAAAAGACTTAGAGAAGGATCTGGACGCAGAGGGGTCTCATCACTCCTCTGCCCCATTCTTTGGTAGGCACAACTGAGGTTTCCTCAGTCTTGTTGTAGGGGCTGTGCAAGCCCAGCTTTAAGCCCTTCCAACCGTAATGCACGCCTTACTGATGCAATGGGGGATGGGGGTGGAGAAGGGAGCCCTAGGGGTGCACATCTTTCCCTCTTGGTGACTGTGGGACTGTGACCAGCTCGAATTGAGAGTTGGGACGCCCAGGTCCTAGCGGCATTTGTGCGTCTTGGCCCTCCAGTGGATTTTCCCTAAGCGCCCTGCAAGAGGCAGCTTTCTGAGGTCCCCGCGCTGAGGTTAGGGGGGTCGGGCCGCTGCACCTTTCAGCCAGAATTCCGGCTCCGGGCGGGCCGGGGGAGGGAGCCAGGAAATTTGGGGCTGGAGCTCCCTCTACAGGACAAAAGGGACGCTGGGCGCCTCGCCTTCACGGCCTCTGCAGCCCAGCCGGGCGTCGCGCCCCTCTGCGCCCTCTTTTTTCCTCTTCGGTCCGCCAGCCAGTGTTGCCCAACTTCGACTCGAAGAGGCTGTACGGAATTCTTGGGAGAGTGGCGCCGCGGGGCACGAAAGGGGGGCACCTTTTGTGCACCCCCCTCCCCACCTTCGTAAATTTGCATGGTGGCCAGATGCCGGGTGTTTGACCCGCACGGTGGAGTTTGTGACAATCTCACGGGCCCCTGGGGAGGTTTGGGAAGAGCTCGCACACCCGAAGCCACGGAACGAGACAGTATAACATTATACACCTTCGAGGCTCTGCGGGAGCGGAGGGGAGACGGTCCAGGACGGGTCCACGCGGGCACCGCTGCCAGAGCCGCGCCCCTGGGGACTCCCGCTGACGCTGGGGCGTTGCGGAGCGGTGGCGTCCCAGGGGCGAGTGGGGTGGGGTCTGTGGACCGCGGTGTCAGTCTGCGGGCGCACCAAGGGCTGGTGAAGCCAGGGCGGACTCCCGGCAAGGACGTTCCGCAGCTGGGGCTCGCTCCTCCAGCCCCTTCCTCAGAGGCCTGAGATGTTTCCACAGCTTTCTTCCCCCCACCCCTTTGTTAACGGTGTTTCTGGGGGTCGGGCTTCTTCCCAGGTCGCAGGCGCAGACTGGGGTTCCACTCCGGCCCTGCGCAGAGCACCCCGAGACGCGGAGCCTACTCGGCCCCGCGGTGAGAGGACTTCAGCTGCCTCTGCCTTGAACCTGAGGCCAGGACCCCAGGGCCAGGGCGGAGGCCTCTGGTTAGCACAATGAATATCTTTACAAGGTCAACACCCCTGATACCTCACAGCTCTTGCCTCACAAGCTTAACTGTGGCAGATCCCGCTCCCTACTTACATCCTGTGAAACCCTGGGCAGATAATTTACTTATCTGTGCCCTCATTTCCTCATTTGCAAAATGGGAATGCTGATGCCTACCAAACCGGGTGGTTGGAGGATGACACAAACTTGTCCAGTGCTCACACGGGGCAGGTGGGCATAAACAACCCTGCTCATAAAGTTATATTCCAGAATCTCAAACCCCACTTCTCAAACTCCCAGCAATATTCTGTCCCACCCCCTCCCATCGGCTATAAAAGTAAGGCACCTAGGGGTGCACATCCTTCCACAATCAGCCATCTCCAGATCCTCTGCAACCCCAGCTCAGCCCAGGGGGGAAGGAAACTCGCCAGGCAGGGGCACAGCAGGGGGAAGGCTTCCGTGATAACAAAAGTTAGGCAGCCTTTCCACACCGACACCCACCCAGAGAGGAGAAAATGGATCTGTTCAGAGGGAGATGCGCAGGGTGAGGCCAGGCAGAGCATGGAGAGGGCAGATTGCAGGTCCCTGGATCTGTCTTCACTGAAGACCCCAGGGTTTAGTCACCTTTTCATCCCAGCACATTCCAAGGATAATGGTCCTGGGATGAGACCAGTTCTGCCCCAGCTGAAAGCACAGGTACTGTGCAGGTACCAGGAGAGAGCTGGCATCGACCTGGGAGCAGCTCCACGTGTTTATTTCCTCTCTTACCCCATAGAACACATGAGCCTTTGAGCTGGCCCCAAAGTGACCCCAATAAGATAACCTAATCAAGTTTTTAAAAAAAGGATCTCATAGCTTTTCAGCTAAAAAGGGGAAGAGCAGACAGCTCCCCTTGGTGGCTCTTTCATTTCACCAGGGAGTAAATTATCATTTCTTCATCCTCCTCCCAGGACCTCTTCCCTGAGCCCTCACCTTATCTCCCTCCTCTCAGGCATCCCAGGAACTGCCTCCATTCCTTATTGTGGGTCCCTAAAATCTAAAAGGGAAACGGGGGGGGGGAGAGAATATGGGAATCTCATCCCTGGTCCTGATGAAGGTTCAATTAGAAATAAAATATGTCAATCACTCTGCCTGGAAGGGGTTCCTGCTGTCGGGGCTGGTTACGCAAAGCGCTCCAAGGTGTGTGGGGATAATCAGTTAGGTCAGAGACAGGAGTGTGTAGCCCTGCTTCACCCATTATCTGCATAGAGCTGGGGTGGGAGGGCGGGGAGGGTACATCCCAGGGCCAGGGAGCCAGAGGAGAATAAAATGATTTCCCGAAGTGATTGCCCACCTCTGGGACTGGCACACGAATGGTTTCCAATCGAATTGCTTTTTGGGGGAGTACAAGGAGGAGGAAGTGGGGTCAGCCAGAAGACAACATGCACACATGGCAGGCCAGAGGGCTAGTGCAGTGGCAGCCACTCACCTGTTGCAGGTGAGGAGTGAAGAGAGGGCAGGGCCCCACCTACTGGGCTGGTGTTCTCCGGGCACCAGGTGGGCAGGCAGGCCCAAAGGCTCCACACTATGTTAGGCCTGCCTGAGTTTTGAAAGGTTAGCCAGAGGGATTAAAGACTCTGTTAAGAATTGGATATAAGCTTTCTGTTTGGGGTTTTGGGGAGTTTCTGCCGGGGATTTGCTTTGGAAATAATTATTTGTATCTTTCTAGAAATGTCCTCTACATCCTAAAATTTCTCCTTGATTGCATGTACCCTCCACCCCCACTGAATGAAAATGGGCAGTTGGAGGTGTGTAAAAATTTTCTGTGGTCAGCTAACTCCAACTTAAGTTGGGGCAAGTCTCCTGCTCTCTCTAGGTCACTCACTTTCAACATCTGTGAAATGGAGGGGACTGGATTAGATGAATTTATCCAAACTTTCTTACAAATCCAACTTTGTCTAGGATTAGGCACAAAGGAAAGAACTGTGGGTCCAAAGATAATTATGGGGGTGAGGGAGCCGCATAACATCTCTGGATACTGCCTCCTGATCCCAGTGGGCCACTGTCACCTGATCCAGCCAGCCAGCATGATCACATTAAAAATGTCCATCTATTGTGTGACCAACCTAGCTTTGATGCAGCTGCTGCTTCTCTCTAAAGGGTCTCCAGCCCCTCCAAAGGCCATCCTGATCATCTGGATTGAGGCACCATAAAGGCATCTCTTCCTGGAGCGGGGGCATAGCTGGAAGACATCTTATGAGCACAGCAGTGGTTCTCAATCAGGCAGGTTTTTCTCCCCAAAACACCCCACCCTGGGGACATTTGACAATGTCTGGAGACATTTTTGATTGCCACGAATAGGGCGGGAGTGCTACTGACATCTTGTGGGTAGAGGCCAGGGATGCTCTAAAGGCACAGGACAATCCACCAGAAAGAATCATCTGGTCTAAAATGTGAACAGTGCTGAGGCTGAGAAACTGCAGGGCGGAGTTGGGGAGAGGTGTCTGGGTCAGCCACAGTAAGTATTTTCTCCCAGAAACCACAGCTTTGTTAAGAGAAACATTAAAACATAGTGCTAAGTGGAGCGTTTTTGTTCTTTAAAAACTTTTGGCCCTGGAAGGGGGAAGTAGGGGTGAGACAGAGCAAACAGGAAACTATGCAAGCCTGGGAAAAAGAAAGAGTGGGTCTTGACTCAGCCTAGTGCCCTGGAACCCCTGGAGCTGGAACCTTCTGGGGTGACAGGAAGGCAAGTCAAAGAGGGTACGTGTCTGGAAAGCTGTGGCCTTTCTCCCTTGGGTATTTATGTCAGGAGCAGGTTACAGGAAGGTTCTCACAGATAAAAGCTTAACTCGTGTGGTTTTTGCTTCATAATTACCACCACCCTCAGCGGCTGCCAGCCCTTCTGTGCACATAAATGCATCTATTTATTTACTTGGTTATTTTACCCCAGTGTGTGTGTGTGTGTGTGTGTGTCACCCATGTCAGGGAGCAGGAGGGAGACAAAGGCAGGGTAAGGTCTTACTCTGGGGCCCGGCCGGCCAGGACGGGAAGGCTGTGATTTCATGGCTTTTGTGCTGGGTGGTGAGCCCTGCATTCTCTCACTGCACTAGGCTGCTAACAAGTGGGCCCACAGCCCTCCGGGGCCTTTGGAGTGCACTCATCTGAGAGATTGTGCTTTTCTCAGCCGCTCAGATTTATTTTGCCAAAGTTACAGGGCAATTATGGAAATGCGCCCTTTGAAGCTGCGCTGATTTCTCTTTATTTTCTTCTCCCTGACAAAGCAGAGCTTCCCTGCCTCTGTGGGCCTCTCTCTCTCTCTCCCTCCACCCCATCCCTTTCCTCTCTCTTTTTTCCTGATAATCATTAAATGGCAGAATTTCCAGGGGTAATGTGAAAAAAAACCTTATAAACGAGGATAAAAATGTGTGTAGATTAAAA